TGTACGCCTCCATCTCCTTGCTGTGCGTTACCTCCTAGCCGTACGCCGACATGCATAGAGAGCGATGGCAATCACATGTTTTCTAAAATGTCAGTTGTCATAGCTTTTTCACAGCATCTTAAGCCAGGAAAGAGAGAAAGTGGCTTCATCTAAAGCTGCAGAAAGCATTCAGGATTGCTAATGGTATATGGCTATGTAAACTGTACACTAGTTAAAACCTATAGTGATTATTATTTGATACCTTAAGTGACATATATAAGGATGTCATCTTTTACTTGAACCAAACAATAAATAGAACTGTTCACTGCTTTAAATTGTAGACAGTTTGTCACCTACCATTTCTCCGTTTCTTGCAGCCAGAGCCTGCCTTCACATCAGAATAGGGAGCCGTTATCATTTATCCAGGCAGGAAAAGGTATTTGAGAGACTTCACTGGTGCGCGGGGCACGTGAAGGACCCTACCGTGTTATTACCCCGACGGGCGGCCTTACTGCTCACAGGTAGTTGGGGAGTTTGGTAGATTATTCTGGCTATAGCTGCATTTTGTCTGCATGGACTGGAGTGCTTTAGAATTTTAGTTTTGAGAATACAAAGCTTAAAATAGACAATTAGCTACAGCCCAGAAGCAGTTTAACTTACAGCACTCAGGGGTATGCAGTGTTCTCGCAAACCAGTGATGTAAATGTGCCTTTCTGTATTTTTAGAAACTTCTAATTTGTAATCTTCAGCAACATTCACTTATTTTTTTCAGCAGCTTCTGCTTCTCCAGTTAGTTAATTATTTGGGTCAGATTTAAGTTCTCATTTCACTATATCCTTCCTGCAACATTTGCTCGGTAACATTAAGGTCTTGGGCAATGGTATCTATCCAGCACGGTCCGTTTGAGAGACGGCCATGGGAACGCCATGCAATCACGTCAGGCTTGTTCTTGCCGCAGGTGCTGATAAGGACTCGGCCATATGCTTTGCTGGAACAAGTACATTGTAAGTCCTTTCCTAATTTGACTTCCTCCCACTGCAAACACAGATAGACAGTATGAACAATTTGTTGTGGCAACACAAGTATTTCTCTTCCTTGTGGAGAACTTTGCTTATCCACTGTATTCTATTCAGTGTGGTGTCAAAAAATTAAAAAAACCCAAACAAAAAAAAAACATAACTGAGCACTGAACCAGCAACATACACTGCACCTGGCCTAGTATTACATTTTTAACCTTATTGTATAGCCTATATTTATCTACTGCGGGGGGGTGGGGGTGGGGGGATGGGAATATCTCATTTCATTTAAGCCAAATGTTTCTTTTTTCTAATTACTGCTGATCATAGTACACACTAAACTAGCAAGATTTTTTTTCTTGCAACACCTGCTCTCTACAGGTCAAAGACTTGCAGATTTTTCACCAAAATTTGTCTGCTCAAAGGTTGTCCGTTTGTTAGTAATAGTTTAGCCACATACATGACTGGAGCCGAGATTTATGTGAAACAAAACTGCAAAGTCTCCAGCCCTCCGGATAGTTCCGCTTTAGTGTGTTGTATAGCGAGCTGTTCAGTGCGGCATTATGCGAAACTCTAATTAAGGCACTTACAAAGGGAGCTCCTTCTTGTCATAGGGTCAGAAGGTGCTTTCCAGGTGGCGACAGATGCCAGCTTGAGAGGAGAATTTGAAACTTTCAGACAGGCAGGGACAGGGGACTGACTTACACAAAAAGCAGGAGGCCATTTATAAGGATTTAATACATCAATGGAAAGCGTAACACGTGGTGTTCAAAAGTTTCCCCGACAATGTCTCATAACTGATGTGTCTGTGTCCTACTGATGAGATAATCGGCACCTTGAAAATGGATTCCACTGTGCTTTAGGCTATCCTCAAGTACCGTAGTGCCGTAGTTGTTTGTTTACCATTAAAATCTAGTGTGTAATGTTCGCTGAGGCTTACTGACTGTGCTCATCTTGTGTGTTTCTGGAGCATTTCCAGGTTGAATGTGAATTATGTCTCATTCACAGAGTGTGTTTATGGAAAATGTGCCATTAAAGCGTCTCCTTTCCTTAGAAAATGAAACTCCTCTTGTCCTTCTGCAGGCAGAGTATTGTACCTTGTTTGGGGGGAAACGAAACAAAGCCAACTGAAGTGTTCCCACCATTTTTAGCATCTTAACCCAAAGAGAGGATCTACCTGCCATTCAATTTTCAAGGGCCTTTTAACAGCTGTTCCTTTTTACGTCGAATCATGGCGTGTGTGCTCTGTGTGGACAGAGTCCAGCCTAGCACCGGTAACCTTGTCATTGGAGCTTGCTTGCTTGTTGGGTTTTTTAAAATAAATAATATTCCTGTGCGTATAACAACCGCAAGCAGTCTCGACTATTTAAACCTGCTCAACAATGAAGGTAAGTTCTGAAAAGGGTGAGGGGACAGAGCGAGAGCTGAAAATGCTAGGATGAGAATGAAGAACAACAACTGCTGGCCCGCCGTATAAGCTGAGCTGCTGTCTTCTAGCGCCTGGCTTACCTGGTATGTGGAATCTTCTACTCTTCCTGGCCCTGTCCTGGCTTCATGAAGTACTTGTGCCTCTGGCCATAGCCTGTTTCTGAGCACGGGTGGGGAGCAGGAATCTCCTCCTCATTTCAAGGAAAATATTAAATGACGAAGGCTAGGAAACCAAAAAGCTAAGCACAGCTTACCGTACGCATGTAGTAGAAAACTACTAACTCTAAAGAATTAAGCAGATCCACAGTTGGCCTGCCTTTGAGCCACTGTGTGTAGGCATAGACATTACATTACATTACAGGTAAGAAGCTGAAGTAATTGCTGCAGACCACAAACGAATTTCAAATCTTGTTTTCTCAGAGTTGAATTTCAAACTTCATTATCAGGGTAAGAGGAAAAGATCGACGTTGGTTGATCTGTCCTATACTGAAACTAACCCAATTAAAATGCACAGCTATATAAAATCTCTCAGCTCCTGAAAATGTGCAAGCCACTTGAAAAATTCCTGCAGCGCTGTTAATACCTACCGATTAGTTAAATGTATTTTCTCATCTTAACACCAGAGAGCCTTGGGCATAAACCACCTTCATATGCAGCGTTTTTGTTTCACAAACAAACCCAAAAGGTGTATGCAGGGCTCTTCATCGTTGCTTTTAATTCTAACCTGCCATTGGCTGTAGCTTTGTTTTTCTTCTAGGAGAGGCTTTCTGCGAGTTTCTCCCTTTACTGGGAAACAGAGCCATTTACTCCCAAAACCAATTCTATATAGCCTTTTCCCACAAAAACTTCCACCTCTACAGCAACACGACTGAAGCTACTAAAACAACACAAGAAAAACTCGAGCTGAATAGAAGACATCTATTAAAAGCACAAGCCTACAAGCAGCTAAACATAGACTTGCTGCTCCCAGCCACGTCTTGCTGTGTACCACTGCCTTCCCCGTGCAGAAGGCGGGGAGACAAACAGCTAGCTTTGTTTATTCAAGTAACACTCTGCAGGAAGCTGCCCGTAAGTCTGGGGCTTCTAAATTGAAGCTACAGACTCTGTGTGTGGCGGTGTGCTTTAAACCACCCAGGGAATTTTTCAACTCGTTTTACAAGCGGTTTGTGAAATTTCATTATCTGGTATAACAGTTCTTGAACACGAAGCAGAAGTGCAACCTTAGGAAAAAAATCCATGAACAAATAAAGGCTAAAACTGTTGTGCACTGCAAAAACAAAACTTCGACTCAGCCCAATTCTCCAAATGTGAGAGGCTGGCAAAGCTGCTCCTTGCAGCTGTAGCTACAGTCCCCAGTACAAGAACTTTGCTAAACTTAGAGGAGTGCCTACAAGGGAAAAAGACAAATCCCTTTTAAGGAAGCATTCCATGAAAGTCAAGTGCTGCTATTCCACATGCCCATTCCATTCCCTTGTAGAAACAGAGCAACAGTTTCATGCGCGCACGTTTCTTTTCCCTTCCCTGGTCTTGGCTTCTGCACCAGTTGTTTGCCAAAAATAAACACCATTCCACAACCATATATGTGCAACAGCCTTCTGGTGATTCCGAGCCCCCTCCAGCACTGCCGGTACTCCACAAGGCCAGGAGACTGCCGACTTTCTACCACGCTCTGAGGGGCTATGCATATAACCCAGCTGAATCGGGAGTGCCTTTTACATCTATTTTCTTTTCTGGACAAAAACAGTAGAAAAAGTTTAGCAAAAACGTGTCACCAGTTGCTAGAAGTCTTTCAGGATCCTTTACTGTGGTCTTTGTTGAACTTTCATTCTCCAGTGGAACTAAAGAAGGATAATTTTCTCCTGGGACCTGCTTTAAAATACTTATCCATCTGCTGGTATTCAGAGAGAGTCAAGGTGTGTAACATTGAGGACTGGATGAAAAACAATTTCCAGAAAGACTTCTGTAACAGGCACGAAAACACTGTCAATGATTTTTTACTAGAAGTTTGCAACAGGTACGTTCCTTGGGTGTGAAACGCTACATCTGCTGTAAAGGTTAACTGCCTTGCAATGAAAGAATTCAGAGCTATTTATACTCTCTACTCCATACATCCTACCTGAAATGGAGCATTAAGTACGTGAGTGCTTTGACTTTGCAGTTTTAATACAGTCTTAAGCTGGTTTTATAGTGGCAACAGTGTATACTTCATATTGACTTTCCTTAAGCCTGTTTTTTCCCTACCCTTTTTTTTTTTTTTTTTGGTGGGGGGGAGGAATGAATAATTATTACAGGAAAGTGCACCACTGCCTACTAAATCGCTGCTTACTTGAAACATACTGTTCTGGCGGTGCACAGCATTGTCCGGGGCGGCGGGGGCATGGGGTGGCCCTACAGAAAAGACATGATTTCCAATAGCGAATACATGCCGTAACAAAACCAAGTTCATCAAACACACCACATTTGTTTCTTGCTAAGAAGTACGTATTGCTTTCATGCTGAAATTTAACTCTATCTTAGCTTCTTATAAACTACAGTAAAGGAAGAGAACTACCACTATGGAAAAGCAGCTCTCGGTGCACACCGTTTCTTACAACAGCTTTACTACTACAAAGCAGCTCTAAGGAAAAAAAAAAAACTATTTACATTAGGAGGAGCAAACAGGGTGGAGGCAATCCTAGTGTTTCAGTAACACCCAGCATGGCTGTGGTCCTAGATCAGAGCTCAAAGGGGCGTGTCAGTGCCCATCCTGAAACGGCGCAGCTTTGTGCCACAAGAAGGCAGGCAAAAAGTTCTGTTGGGAAGTAACAATCTAAGAACCCCAACAAATTATAGGATACTGAGAGGACGCAGTGTCTTTGTGAGAACCAGCAACACTGCAATCTCAAACCAGACATTTAAGTTGCAAGTACAAATTTTCACAAGGAACTGATAAATCATTTTGGCACTGGAATGTCTACCATGAGGTCACACTCCACTATTTCCATTTTTTGCCATTACAAATTGGGATTCAGAACGAGAACGCAAGACCACAGCTCTGCAGAAATAGTTTAAGTGCCCTTCTCCTCTGCAGCTTCCATAACCCCAAACTGGTTGCTGGACACAATTCAAGGCAAAGCCTGTAGTGTAGTAGGCAATCCGAACATCCATCAAAATCCAGTAAATACCATTCAGCCTTACATGGATTCGTTTCCACAAGTTAAAGTGAACTCTTAAAAAATATTTGTCCTCCCCCCCCCCCCCCCCACCCAGAAACAGAACATATTCCTCTTAAAAAATATTTGTCCTGCCCCCCCCCCCCGTCAGCCCAAGACAGACAAATTCCTGACTTTTTTTGCAGCAACGCACTTGAAAGCGTTTCTATCCCAACAAAATTCCTAGCATCCTGTGCAAAGAAAAATGCAAATGAAACAGACATCTACCTTTTCTACCCGAGTTTGGAGTACTTCTATTCTGTTGAGGAAGCGAGATGGCAGGTCGGAACCTTTCTTGACCTTGCCTGCTTTTAAACCATGTTTTTCTAGCTGTTTGTAAGTGTAAAGGGAAGGAGTAACAATAAGAGCACGCAGCTGACATGTTCTCACTTTATCGCCTCTGCTCAAAAGGTGAAGTCAAGCAGCAGCGGGGCGGTGGGGCGAGGTGGAACGTTGTATTATACCAGTGTTTGAGGAGAAAAAAAACACGCTGCGGTGATGGCAGAGCCCTTGCCCCCACTGCTGCCGTACACCTAAAACCCCGATAGAGGCTGTAAGCACAAATCTTTATTACAGAAGTGCTTGCAGACACCTTGCAGTTCTTGCAGGATGGAGGCTGGCTAACAGTTCTGTCCACAGGTCTCTCAAGATCAACTTGTGATCTTGCTACAATCATTTTCCCCCGCAGTAACAGAGCCTAAAGAAGTCCTTGTGCTAATAGAGAAACATGAAGCTGCATTTTGCTAAACAGATGGATAGCTGAAAAGCTGCTCCCTGGAGAGAGGTGTAAGGCAGAAACCAAGCACTGTACAAAAGGCTTTGCAGGCTGGTCAGCACAACAGCTAGTCGTAACTGCTCTGCTCCAGTCTTCTACACAAGGACTATTAGTATAAGTCATGAACACACTGACTCGAAACAGGCCTTTTCTGCACTTTCCCAGGTCTACCCAAGCAACAAAAGAGAAAAGTTTGTTAATTCGTCACGTCATTGTTTTAACAGCAGAGCTCTTGCCAAGTTTCGGTGACTTAAAGGATGGTTTAAGAGGTGTGTGGGGTTCAAACATCAACACTTGTAGTTAGTAGCTGGCACCTATGCAGTAAATCCAAAGAGCTGAAACACACCCATTAGTCCCCGTAAGATCCAGAGTGGGAGTGTCTCACTGGCTCGTGCTCAGCATTGTCTACACGGCAGCCTCTTCACTCAATTCTCCCCAAATCCATCCCGACTTGAATCTCGTCTCTACTGTGTCTTCATTCTCTGCGCTCAGAGAAGCGCAGCGCCAAGCAACTTCTTCAGAAAAAACAATGCAGCTGCAGCTTAAATAGGCACTCACATCCCCTTCTCCACTGTGTCACCTGAGCTATAGAGGCTGTTACCGACAGAGAAAGCAAAGAAGGTAAGTTTTGCGATTAGTAAAGCTAACCATTAAGATCTACACTCGCCCCCACCTGCTCATGCATTCTTAGCCCTGCTGATGGAAGAGGAGGTATTTTTCTAACATTGACATTTATTCTTGACGATACTAGCTTCTCCAAGCTCTATTACTTATTTTTCCCCGCATCTCACCTGTTAACGATCATGTTTTCAGATGTCCAAACCTGCTCTCTCTGACCCTCTCTGGTTGCGGCCATGTTACAGACGACTGCATCTTGCTGCTTCTCAAGAACTGCCCAAACCTCAAGACACTCAAACTGGAAAACTGTGTGCGGATCACTGACCAGACACTAGAAGCAGTGACCCTCTATGGGGGATCACTGCGAACGCTCCACGTGGATTTCTGCCGGAACGTAACACAAACCGGACTAGAGAGAGTGAGGGAAAAATGCCCTTCCGTAATGCTGAGAGCAGAAAGGAGTGCTAACATGATTCCAGACAATAAGCCAGGAAAAAAGCTGATGCTTGAAAAAGCATCTAGAAAATTGGTTCAGCTGTAAGTGCAACAAACTGAATAAACTCACTCAACGTGGGTGTTTTACTTCACCTCCGCTCTCCTCTTGAATGGCGTTGCTTCAATGAACTGTGCCTACTATCCTGCAGTCTGCTTTAAGTCCAAACAAACGGTTGATACGTTTTGTAAAGGCTGCGCTGGGAAAAGGCACGCATCTCCCCTGGGACAGTCTTAAGGAAAAAACCTGTTTGCTTTCTGTTGTTCCTCGAAACTGGAAAACCCTACATTGCTGTCACAAAACACTAGACCCGATTAAGGCTGAAAACTGCAATTCTGGTAACTCTCTTGTTGCAGACGAGTGGAATGCACCTCACTCAGAAGAGAGAAACAGCAGTCTGTTTTATTGAGGTAAAATGTTAATTTGAGAGAGTTCAATAAATTGGATGGAATTTAACAAAGTTTAACAGCGGTTAAGCAGGGTTCATTGAGTTTGATGGCAAGGCTCACCTCATTAATTACTGCATGGAAGAAACGTACAAAGGAAAACCGAGTTAGAACGATTCACACCGAGACCAGAGCTTAAAGAGCAGCCCCCCATTGCGTCACGAGGTTCAGAGTGGATCCCCTTGCCTTCTAAACTCCTTACGTAACGGGAAAGGGCATAAAGCCGCAGCAGATAGAGCTTGGGCAGTGGTACGATTTGCACAAATTTCAGGGAAGGAATGATTAACAAATTTCTGTTAAAGGATACATCTATACAGTCATTCCTCCGCTAAGGCCGATGGTGCACCGCGCCACCTGAGATCTTCCTAGCGAAAGCAGAGTACCCAACAACCATCGCTTCCTCAGTGACTGACATTTGTAGCTGACTTGTCAGACTTATTTATTGAGGGATGCACAGCGATGCGCACAAATTGCAGTTTGACCCTTTGCACAACGTACTTTGACAAGATACGCCAAGTTATTTTTTAAAGTTGACATTAAAGGAAGCGCAGTATGAACAAATGCCACTCTACAGAACTAACCTATGCGAAAAGACAGTCACAACCTATAGCTTTAAACACTAAATTAGGAACACACTACAGTAGAGATCTTTATCGAACACCTGTTTCTCACTGCTAAGAACAAACCAAATGGCTATTTTCATCCCAAACCACAAGGCTGTCACTTTCCTGCATGTTGTTCTGCTACACGGAACTGAAACTTTTTTTTTTTTTAAGGAAGGCTTGCTCTGGCTTAGTCTACAAAATGTTTTGACAGCAAAGGCTGGCGCAGTTTCATTCTGCTATATAAAATTTGCCTTGATAGAACACACTGGGATTCGGTTGTGGTATTGAGTTCTCGGGACTGGTAACATCCCGTTCCAAGACTTCTCACGCACTTAAGAGATTTTTGCCCGAGGACAGGTAAACATTTCAGAGTGCCACCTTACTGTGTCAACTGAACTGCAGTTACCTGTCAGAAGTTTTACTTCTTGAGACTGTCTCAGTATAAAGAACAGAGAAAAAAATCATTGTGATCATCCAGTTTGAATTATTCAAGTTTTTGTTTGAACTCCAGCATGCTTTTTTAAAAAGCACCCTGTCTCAAACACTGGGCTTTACTCATATGTGGGAGCATGTCCTCACATTCTGCCTTTCGTTAATTTTCCACTTTGGTCAGCAATTCTGACGTGAATTCAGAATTCTGGACTCCTGGAGAGCACACCATAATATATAATCCTGCCCATTCTTGCTGACTCTGCAGCTGAACTTGTATTTACCTTAAATCTCTCTCTCATTCAATGCAATCCTCTGAAGAACTCTATGCTCATAAAAAATGAAAGACGGTTACATCTGGCTATCGATAACGTCGTTTCCCTTAGAGGACCAGACATCAGTTCAACTTACGACATCAAACAGAAGGCTGCATACAGAGCAGTTCGACAAACTACGGAGCCTGAACAGTTCCAGCTTAAATCACAATGAAGTCTACAGCAGTCAACATTTCATTTTACATTAAAACCTTCCATACAGTAGGAAATACCTGAGTGTGTGTGTCCTTAAAATCGAAGCTAATTTAGAAATATTAGCATTTGGAAATACTGTTCTGTGCTACAGAGAACGCCAGCATTTCTGTTCGGTTACGTAACAATTATTCAAGACAGTCTGTCACTACCGCAATCTGCGTGCATATACCATAGCAAGCCTGTTTCTCATCTACATGAGGGGCTCTGCAATTGCTGACAATTAATCTTGCTGTACCGGTAACAGAATGCTGATGAAATCTGCTAGCTAGAAATACATGAACTGGAACTTGCATCGCTGGAATTCAACTACATCAAGACTATCGTGGTTTAAAAATAATCCGATAGCTTTGTTACATTTTAAGAGTTGTATCTACAGGTATAGCTTTGCAGACTTGCTACTTGTCCGCATTTTAATCTTTTATATATAACTGGAAGACTACAACAGCTAGCTTTTCCTCTAAGGAACAGGATTTGTAACTTCTTAAATAGTTACTTAACAACTTATTAAAGGTTGACAAATATCTAACACGAGACATGTTTTTCTTTAAATCCAGAGAACAGCAGGACCAGAGTACATCTCCAAAACAAAAAGAATGTGTGAAAAGCTACTCTTGAAGCAGACCTTCCCCCCCCCGCCCCCGGCCTCATTGACATCTAAACTGCAGAAACAAGTTCTGAAGTTAGGCCTCAATTACTTAGGAATAACTGGTCTGAGCGTCCAACTTCTCATCGTGTTCTTTATACAATACTGTTGCTCCTTTTATTAAAGCTACGTGAAGAAAAATGCTTAGGGTGTCGTAATGGAGAACTTGTCTCTGATGCCTCAAGTAGTCTTAAAAGAACGGTTTATTTCAACCGATATATTCTTTTGTTCATGTTTGACCAGAAAGGAAGGAAACATGCTATCAGAATTCCAATGAAAGCCAAGTTGTACTGCACGAGTAGTACTGTAAAACTGTATTTCCTATCAGTTTCTCTAGGAAGGTAAGTTTCAAACAATCTCAGCAGAAATATTTTAGTAGACTACATTCCTAGGGCTTACCCCTTCCTCTGCAAGACGTGACGAGCTAGCTACGAACTCCTGAAAATAGTCTTTATGTGGTGCATCAAAAATGGAAAGAGGACTTTACAGCTCTCAGCATAAGGGAATATACTTACTCCTCCTTTCCATTGTGGTTAATTGATCTACAGATATCCTTTGGTACTCTCTAATTTGGCCGGGCTAAGAAATACATCACAGCATTACAGCAACTTGGTCAAACAGAGCTGAAATTCTAGAAAAATACTTGATCAGTATGAGTATCCCTAAGAAACACTCACCCAGAAGACAAACAAAGGAAACAATGTAATTATTGCATCTTCAGAACTCCAGAGAGATTTAGCGGCATGACACAGTAATATTCTGGTATCCCATTAACTCATTCCTAGAACTGAAGTAGGACCCTTATGCACTACAAAGTAACGAACAGAACTGGAAGCACAGCCAGGAAGGACACACAGCAATCCTAAAACAGTATTTAAGACTTGGAAAGGAGATTGCTGGGCTGAACAAACTTACTGTGATGTGGAAATTGGGATGTTGACACAGTTCCTACCTTGGATACACTATTCTTGCATGGAAAACCACCAGTTTCACATACTTGCTAACAAGCCAAAACAAGGTTGCAATTCTATATAGTTGCATTAGTAACCAAAGACCTTCTCTTGATGCCAGCTCTCTAAGCACTCTGCGATGAGAGATACATCTCGGTAGATGTAACACCTAACACATTTTCAAGTAGCTACAAGATATGAAAGCGGGCTTGCAGCTGTCTACATATTATTTATGCCTTTTTGCCAGTTTTCTCTCAGAACCGCTTTGGAGGTGGGGGGAAAGAGGGTGGTGGCGTTGTGGGTTTTGTGGTTTTTTTACAGAGCTATAAAGGGCCTTGGAACACTCTCCCACTTGGTTTCTTGGCCTCTTTGGGTACAAATGCTCAAAGTCCTATTACTTTGCTCTTTTCCTCCTTGAATGTGGATGGTTGTTTATGACATGGTAAAATTTGAACTCAGTTGTGTTGGTAACTTTTTTCAGGCTCGGTAATACGTTTTCTTACTTAGCAATCCAATTTGAAAGTTGAGTATATAATGATTACATTTTACTTAAGGTATTATGTAAGGATGGAAGCATGTTAACAGTTTTCTTTAGTTCCAAGTCATCTGAGCTCCATCAAAGTTCCCTCAACGTTCCTGAAACATTTTTTACTCTTCACAGACTCTAACTTACCAGGCATGGAGGAGGGAGGAAGGCTTGTTATCTATCATTTTACAAAAGTACTAAAAGAAAGATGACATAAACCAAGTTGCCTACTTGGAAGCTGCATCAGGTTATCAGATGCAAGTGGCAAAGACGACTTCGTACCAGAAGTTTGTGCCTTTTCCCACACAATAGGGGAAAAGTAACATCCCTAAGACCCTTCAGATTGCCACTGTGGTAACAATACCTCAGTGTGGCAATAAGGTAAAGGAAATCAAACAAAGTCCTGCAGCACAGTAACATTGCTTGCCTTACCGGCAGCGCTATTTTTTGGCTGTTAAGCTTCATCACTCAGTCAAAAGGGCTAAGTGACAGATCTAAATCAAACTTCCAGACCTGACCTGATCTCTTGTTCACCTCTTCTCTAGAGAATACTACTGTTCAAGACCACATTCTGCTCTTACCAGTCCCCTCTAAGCCTGACAGACATGCATTCCACCTACCGCTACATTCCAGCTCCTGTCAGATGAACCAGCATTACTACCGCTAGCTCCAGAAAGTGTGAGGCTTCACTCGGTTAAATAACTTGCCCACCTCTACTCTCGGGGACTGGCTGTTCGTGTTCTCTCTGTTGTAGTGTGCCTACCTGTTTCAAAGGGCTATCCGGCTGTCTGACAGCCCAAAAGGCTAAGGATGCACTTCCTGGGGTGGGGGCGGGGGGGTGGGGGTGGGGGAAAGTAGGAAAAAGCGACTGAAAACACCAGAGGTGGTAGAGAAGACATTATCTAATCCCAGGGTAAGA